GGAAATGCAGAAGAAGGAAAACAGGAGAAATCCCATACAAGCCCATTGCTCGTGTATCAGATGATATGCAATCTAGTAAAGAGCAAAGTACTCATGCTGCTCATTTCGTGATTTACTTTGTGTCCTGAGTAGAATTATTCATTAATGAATAAAGGGGGTAAGTTTCTAAAGAAACTGTGGTGCTGTTTCGGTGGTAAAGTATAACAGGGTAATTAAGTATTATCAACTGAGTTGATAACGTAAATTGACCTCTGTAAAGAGTTTAAAAGCTGACGTTTCGAACGTTGGGCCTCCGTCTATCGCTCTCACAAAAGGCTGACGCCCGAAACGTCAGCTTTTAAAGTCTTTACGGTGGCCAATTTACATTATCAACTCAGTTGACAATACTAAATTACACAATTATTCATTGTTTGATTTATTGTTATGAACACGTTGGATGGCAGATTTTTCGCTAACAGCTTGATGAAATCAGGGTAATTACCCGGTGTCGCCCATTTTCTGAATAAGGATGTGCTCCATTTTCTTAAAAATACTGCACTGTCTTTCATAAACATCGGCAGCATCATTATTAGAATTGTCAAACATCAGACAGTCTACACCCGAAAAAACAAATTTTGACATATTTCCAGTCTGAACGACTCTGGTTGGGTGGCATTTCCACTACTAAATGTTCCTAAGTCTGCCAAGCACAGTAGATGGAGCCTCAACTACTTTTTGAAGGTGTAGGTGTACAGATGAAAATGTGAACTGTGCATTGTATGCCCAGCACGCATTAAACTCTAAACATGATTTTTAGAATCTACATGTGCAGGCGATTCCCCTTTCAAATGGAATAGCTTAAGCTTTGAAATTTATTAATTGTGACCCTCCGCGGGATTTCAGGGAATAAGGTGAATGCACGCTCACGGTACACTAGCACGCTAAAACAAAAGAACGAGCTTTTAACACGTTAGTTGCGTGTAAGTTACTGGCCTCATTAACTTTGCAGCCATTTTCTTGCTTCGCACGGTAGAAACAAAGAAACGTGTTAGGATCTTGCTCGCAAATTTGCACGATATAACACCGTGACCGTGCCAATTTTATAACACGCTTCTTAGCTCGTAAGATGCCAAAATCGGCGTACAACAGATAATACTCGGCCTCGCTTGGAAAGCTTTGTTTTACGCCGGCTAGCTAGCGGTTATTTATTTTAAAAATGCTGGTTTGCATAGAGTAACGAACAGCGACCGCGTAGGGGACATGGAGCCGAAAATTCTTTGCTAAAGGATTTACAAAGATTCGATACTGGGCTTATTAACTTCGTGAAGCGATAAGGATTTATATTTTACAAGGTTAGAATAAAGTTTCATGTGTTCAAACTGAGCTCCCCTGGACCTTGCGAAACACGTCGTGTTCGCTGAATTCCTTGAAGGAAAGAGCCGTGATTTGCCGTAAATGTTTCCTTTTTTATCACAACTTTCGAATAGAACAGAAGATCTTCTTCATTTTCGCTTATATTCTATAGGTAATAACCTTTACAAACACCAATCTCACAATAATTTATTAAGAAGCTGACAAACACAAGTAACAAAGTAAGCTGGGTTGTACAAGATAAGCTAGCGTGTTAGGGAACAAAGGAACTTAGCGTGTTAGAAAAAAAACAAAACGATCTAACGTGTTATAGAAACAAAGCTCCATCGTGTTAGCCAGATATGAACAATGGCTACAACACGCTTTCCAAAATCAATTGTTTTTATGCGCATATCTGCACGGTAAGCGTGTCATGACGTTAGCGTGCGAGCGTGTTATAACGTGCCGTGTGCATGCGTTCACCTTATTCTCTTAGAGGCCTTGTTTAGTACAGTGTGACGTCGCGTTGTATCTGCTTGAACTTTACACTCGAGTTTGCATTAACTTTGAACTCGCGATTAGTGCCAAAAACTTGTGAATATCATCGAGGTTGTAATCAATATCTTTCTGCTATTAATTACAATAATTAAAAACGCGTTTGTTGGATTGAAGAACTGTTGATATTGGAACCAATAACAAGTATATTATAAACTGAATACATTTACAATGAATTCGCATTTTATACCGAAACAATAAGGGTTTCAAACTTACTTGAATCGCATTGTCCTTTTCCAAAGAATAGTAATAAAACTGAAACAATAAAAAATTCATGAGACATAAACTAATCTTTAAAAATGCAGGAGGTGGCCATATAGACTGGTTTTTGTTTGCACTTTTTTTTTAATGACGCTGTAAGAACCCTGGCGAGAAGCAAGATAAAACAATGGGACATTATTTTCTCTTGTCTAGAAGAGATTGGAACGCGACAGGGTTTTGATCGCAAAAGAGAAAAAATAAACTAAGAGGAAAAAATAACCGGAGATGAAATAAAACACAAAATGAAATGCAAATGACTTCGAAACTAAAATTTGCTTCCCCAAATGAAGGCAAGATACTACACAACCATTTTCATTA